CCAGGGCCTAACCAATACTGGGGCCCTGGTCCTTCTGCATTTGCAGGGATCTGGTACTCGGTGCACTCCAACCAACTGGCGTGCGGCAACTGTCTGGACCCCACTTCGTGAAATGTTGAATGAAAAAGCCTCTCGTTGATTTGCTGGCCCGCCTTCACTTAGGGCGGGCACTAGGCTTGCTGGGGGCCTTAGCCCAGAACATGTACATCACGACAAGGCCCCTTTGAGGGCTCGATAAAACACTCTTTTTATTTTATTCTTATTTTATTATGAATAAATTAGATACAAAATCTTCTAAGAGATATCTTTATTGTTAATCAATTCTAGGTTTGGGAATTGTTCATAAAACTTTTGAGATGAGTCTCTTGATGATTCTATATCGAAATATTTTTCTAATGCATTTGCAATCCTCACATTCCATCCCCCTTAGCTTCGAAAGTCCGCTGAGATGCTTACTTCGCAGGTGCCTCGACCACCTGAGGAGCTGTTTCAACCAGTTCCTCTCTGGTGAACCATCGATCTTCTTTCGGATTTGTGTGATGCCTGAATCTGATTCTGTATTCTCTTATGGGTTTAGGAGGTCTTCCTCAGCCTAGAGGTCTTGGAACAGGCATGTCTCTGTGTTCCAGAATGTCGTCGATGTCCACGTGGCCATCCATGGTTGGGGGCAGCATTGATCTCCGTGAAGGAAATTGATCTGTCTCAGCAAAAGGTGCAAGCTTTGAGGCGTGAAAAACTGGGCAAGTGCGCAGGTGACCAGAGATACGGATAAGATAGGAAGGACCATCCAAATCATCCCCAACTATGTCTAAAACTTCCCAAGGACCGAAGTACTGTGGCATTAGTTTTCTAGAGATGTCGAATTCCTGTCCTAGCTCACTAGCCTTCACCCAGACACGTTCCCCTACCTTAAATGTGGACTGTGTGTTTGTTCTCAGAGGCAATCATCGCTTCTTGAGACTTCTTGATGTGCTCGACAGCTTGCTGCAGCAGTTTTCGTACTGCACCCCATGTTCTATTGAACCAGGGGTTGCGGCAGGTCGGTTTTCAGGCAGGAGGAAGTTCAGAGCTGATCTAGGCTTCCATCCCAAGTGCAACTGATTAGGATCGACGCCGGTACTGCTGTGCACAACGTTGTTGTACAGGCTGGCGATGAGAGGCAATTTCTCATCCCAGTCATCTTGGCTGGGCTTGATGTAATGTCTCAGCAGATGCTGTACAACTCTGTTCATCTGTTCGGCCTGTCCGTTGGCTTCGGGATGATTCCCGGAAGTCATCCGAAGTTGACTGCCTAATTGCTCTGCAGTCTTCTTCCACAACTCACTTGTAAAGCGGACATCCCTATCACTAACGATAGTCTTAGGTAACCCAAAATCACGCACCCAGTTGTCCATAAACAACTTGATGACGTGCTCGGTCCTCGCAGTTTCTGGCATTGCGATCAGTCTAGCGTACTTGGTGAACCGGTCTATGATGACAAAGATGTGCCTTTTGCCGCTTCTGCTGGTCACCAGGGTATCCATGAAGTCCATGGACACAATCTGTCCCGGGCCAGCGGGGATGGGCAACGGCTTCAGCAACCCAAGTTGTGCTTGAGTTTTGGGCTTGTCCCGTAGACAGACCTGACAGGTCTGCACATACCTCTTTGCACCATCTAACATTCCGGGCCACCAAAATCGTTGTACCAGGTTTGCACTGGTCTTTTTATAACCAAAATGTCCCGTTGCATCATGACATACTCCTAAAAACAAACTGCGCAAATTCTCACTAGATGGAATAACTAATCTTTTAAACCCGGCCTTTTCAAGAAAGAGTAGCCCGTCCACCATCACAAACTCATCTTCTGTGGCCTTATCTTTTGCCTGCAGCTTGCGTATGATGTCCATCGTGACAGGGTCTTCCTGATAGGCTCCCACCAGCGATTGAGTTACTTCCTCAGATATGCCAAATTCGGAAACTAGCGCCCCTAGGTAGTCTGCCCTACGTGACAACGCATCTGCAACCGTGTTGTACTCTCCCTTCAGATACTCTAGCTTGAAGTCATACTGATCTATGACCTCAATCCAGCGCCTGAGTGCAACAGAAAGAGCAGGTTGAGTCTTGATCCATTTAAGGGTCTGATGGTCAGTTCTCAAATAGAAAAACCGTCCCAACAGAAAGTGCCTCCAATGGACAAGTGCCTTGTAAAGGGCATAGAGTTCCCTTTCATAAGTGGACTTTGCCAGTTTCTTTGATGGCATTTTCTTGCTCATGTACTCAATCGGTCTCAACTTCTTCCCATCCTGCTGAGCCAGTACTGCACCAATGCCGTATTGGCTTGCGTCAGTGGTCTCAATGAAGGGCTTTTGAGGATCGGGCACTATGAGAACCTCATGATTCATGAGTGCATACTTCAATCGTTTGAAAGCAGCCTCGCACTCATCACTCCAATCCCACGGCGTATCAAGTCGAGTTAGATCAGTCAAAGGAGAGGCGACCGTGGAGTAGTTTTTCACAAAATTCCTATAGTAGCCGCACATCCCTAAGAAAGATCTGACCTCAGTAACAGTCTGAGGTCGTGGCCAGTCCCTAATACTAGCCACCTTCGCATCTTCTGGCCTAATCCCTTCCGCGGATACCTCATGACCCAAGTACAAGATCCTAGTGCGTCCAAACTCACATTTTTCTAGGTTGACCTTATACTTGTGTTGTCGCAGGAGAGATAGTACAGTTTCTAAGTGATGTGCATGCTCCTCGACAGACTTACTAAAGATAAGAATATCGTCAAGGTACACGACGACAAACTTATCTAAGTAGTCATGGAAGATCCTATTCATAGCGTGCTGGAATGTACCCGGCGCGTTGCAAGGGCCAAAGGGCATCACCACAAACTCGTACAGACCGTATCTGGTCTGAAATGCAGTTTTGTGCTGATCCTCAGGTCTTATGGCAATCTGATGGTAGCCGAATTTTAAGTCTATCTTGCTGTAGTACTTACATCCCTGCACCCTATCCAATAGGTCGTCTATGCGAGGTAGAGGCTCTGCGTTCTTCACTGTGATGGCATTGAGGCCTCTATAATCAATGCACATCCTCAACAATCCCCTCTTCTTCGGTACAAACAACACTGGAGATCCGAAAGGGGAAGTACTTGGCCGTATCCAACCCTTTTCTGTCAGCTCTTTCAGTTGTCGCTGAAGTTCATCCAACTCGGCCGGAGCCATCCTGTAGATCCTTCCCCTTGGGGTTTTACTCCCTGGAATTATTTCTATGGCATGGACAATCTCCCTATCTACGACTCCTGTGGGCTCCTTGAACGACATGTTCTATCTCTGGGGGTGTTTTAACGGCCTCCCCTTTCTCAGAGACATACACTAGGTACATACCCTCCTCTTGGTTCTGTTTATAGTAATTGTAGAACGCTGATGCGCACAAGCAGCCATAGGATTCTAGTAACCTACTAGCCTTATACTTGGCCAGCCTCACGGACCTTCCATCCGACAACTTATGCTTTAGCATCTTCTTGTCCCGGTCAAACTGGGGCTTGGCAACCTCAAGGTAGTACATTCCTAACAACATATCAAATGGTAACTCATCGCTAACCAGGAACAAAATCTTGTGATTAAGTTCCCCTCCTCCATAGGAGAAGGTGCAGACTACATCCTTGACATAGTCTGACACTACCATGCGCTCCTTGTTGGCCAAAGTAGATGCTACTGGTCTACAAAGGTGTTGTACCCGGTCCTTTAGGTGCAGCCTTTCCAAACAGTCGCGACTTATGTAGTTTCGCGTGGAGCCGGTGTCTACGAAAGCACCACATTTGTGGCCTCCTACAGCAACTTCCACGACGAAGTGTTCCCCTCTAGGACCTTTGCTTAATGCCACTCAAGATTCGCGAGGGTCCTTGCTTGACCACCCACTTTCTAAATCTTCTAAGGCCTCAGACACATCCAACGTACAGAGCATAGTTTGGTCTAGATGAGTCTGCAAGGTGACTAAAGAGTCATTAGCTATGGCCATCTCATGAAGTGGGGAGGGTATCTAGCCCACTTCACCATGAGTAGAAGCGGCTAAAACTTCCACCGGCCTCAAATGTTTCCCAAGCTGGAAGCTTGGGAAGAAGGTACCCTTCCCTTAGGTGGTATCTTCTGCGTGACCTTTGCGTTCTTGCACTTGTACTGGGTGTATCCGTATTCACCAAAGTTGATGCAAGCACCATGCACTCGGCGGTCCCGCCACACTTCCTGATCAAGACCTGCCTTAACCCAATCTGCCATTTTGGACTGATTGGAGGCGGTCTGCCCTTGACTCTTGTGATGGCCCTTACCTCGGCCACCTGCCTTAGTCTTTACTACTGCGGCGAGGGTGCTACCCTCATCGACTTCCTCGCCGTCAAACTCTGGACCGTCCATCAGGTCAATAAGTTCTTCGATTTCTGTTTGAGTCCCATCGGACTCAACCATCATCAATCTAGTACCCTTCTTTTTCCACTCCTGTGGACTCTTCTTCTTCCTCCCGTCTACTGGAGTAGGTTGAGCACTTCCTAGAGTAGCCTCCAAATCTAAGGCCTTTCTAGAGAAGGTCTCAAAGGAATGATACTCGAGGCGAGCCTCGCTGGCCAGTAAGGTCCTGAGATTCTCGGGCAGACATCTCAGAAACATGGTCAATAAGACCTGGTCATCATAGCGTATACCGGGAATGACGATGAGGTTCTCTACGGTAGACGTCAACTCTCTGACAGACTTGTACCTTCGCTGGTCTAGTCCGAGCATCGCATTAGTGGCAATTTGTGTCTGCTGCGGATTATGCCAGCGAGCTTCTACCATATCCAAGAACTCTTCTAAAGTAAGGGTCTTACCCCAGTCTGCCATGCGTCGTCCGAACCCGACCTTCGCTACTATCCCATCCAGCCATTTGGCTGCCTTACCCTCAAGGTAAGATGCAGCAGTAATCACCTCCTCCTCCTGCAACGTCCTCTTTGCCCTTACCCACATTGGAACBRTTCTCAACCAAGTGTTGAGTTCCTCGTCCTTCTTCTCACCGGAGAAGGCAAGGGGCGGTTTCATTGGGGTCTTTGGGTACCATTGACCTTGCTGCTGTCCCTGTGGTGGAACAGTTTGTTGTGGTGATTCTGTAGCTATCACCGTTGGACCAGAAGAAGAAGAAGCAACAGTCTGTGCGGCTGCTGCAGACGTACCACTTGGCTGTGTGCCAGCTTGTATTTGAATGGGGCCTGACATCGCCGTTAATGACAACGGCTGTGCTGCTGGCCGTAATCCTGGCCTTCGCAAAAGGTCCAAGATTTGGTCCAAGGAGTTTTGCATGAAATCCAGCCCACTGTCCACATGCGCATGCAATGACAGTATGCTAGACTTTAACACTTTCATTTCGTCAGACATTGCTGACTCGTCTAACTCCTCTAATGCAGCTTTGTCTGCCTCTAACATATCAAGCCTAGCTGTTCTATTTTTGATCTCTTTTTCTCTATCGGTAGCTTGCTTCAGTTCCCTCTCTAGCCGAGTGTGGATCCTTTCGACTTGTTGGAGCTCTAGTAGCTCCCAGCCGCGTGGGGTCAACGGACTTAACTGCGAGCCCGCCATTTGACTTGTGGACTGACTAGAACCTACTGATCCGGAAGTACCCGTGGGCCCAGAGGGCATTCCCAACAGGGTCCCAAACTAGGATGCAGCAGAGCAGGCTGCAGCAGTAGCCATTGCTGCTGCGCTGGCTGCTGCTGCCCGTTCCCCAGCTGCAGCGTTTGCTGCTGCCAACGCCTGACTTGCAGCTAGTGCTGTTTCCCTCGCTGCTGCGTAAGCACGGGCTCTAACTTCGGCACGAAGCCGTCTTTCATCCCCCGACCGTAGGGCCTGAAACACGTGCGGGACCCTAAGTGATCTCGAACGTGTCAGCCTCGCATCGTCAACTCTACCCTCATCGGTGTCTGACCCACTCATCAGCTAGGCAAACACTATCTGCACTACAACTCCCTGTTGGAGTCCTACCACAACATGTGTCTGACCGGCACCTAATTTTCTAAAAATAAATGTGTCCGGCAGGTCCCCTACTCAACCGATCAAGTGGCAGCCTACAACATTCACAAAGACCGTAAACATAATTTAGTTATATCAAGATTAGTTCACTTACATAAGCTTTGCATAGAACTGGCTATGGTAGTATACAACAGTCCTAAACTAAGTTGTCTGTGAGGTGTTAGCAGTCTGTCAACCAACTAATCAACAATAAAACTAAATTATGTTGCAGATGTATGAACAGTGGATATGGTTGTGTTTACAGTTGAGCACCAATTGGAACCTACCCTCCCCTCAATGCAACATACCGATGAGCATCATTGAGCAGCAGTGTCATAGGTGGGCAATGTCGGCCCACCCCTATGCCCCAGGTGCATGCTTATGACCAGGCTTGCCCTTTCTTTATCCTCGCGTGCAACGAGCCGTACGTCCGACTGATCTGGCTGATCAAGAGGCCTATTTAAGGACTGCCCCCAAGGTCGCTCAGGAATTATTTAACGTCGCAATCAGGACGACGATCACAGCCAGTGGACAGATCGGATCCCCATCCATAAATGTTTATAGACGGTCTGGGAGCGTCTGCATAAGCCTGTTCAGTCCGCACACCCCTCTATCAGCGCAGCAAAAGTGCCCTCATGGACAAAGCAGCCATCGCATGCATGTACTAATCCAATTGGGTTGGCATGGTGACCATGACCCACGTGCTTCGACCAGGGCCCTTAAGAGGCACCGCCCTTTCTCCTTCCAGATGCGCCACCGGGAATATTGTCGTCTCTCAAGGTAGAGCGCTCACGACATGTCACCAAAAGAGAGGACTCTCAAGTTGGACTCACTTCCTCACGGTAAGAAGAGATTGAGAGGGTAGATAAGTTAAGGGATCAACGTACCTATAGATAGCTGCCCCCAACCACAGATTTCTCACCAATTGAGTTGAGTGTGCATTTGATGACCGGTTGTAGCCTCGGTACCACCCACAACGCAATGCAGTGCCACCTCAGCCAAATGCCACATCAGCATGCTCTCATCACCAATCATACATTTCGCCGTCGCCACGGCATCCCAAGCCGTATAGCCTTCCGGCGCACACCTCTCTACCCAGGTCGTGCGCCTAGTTTCGGCCTGACGTCACAAGAACCAACTGCGAAGAAGCATCGTCAACGCACCAAGTCTGTATAACGCTAGCGCACCAAGGTAAGCGGCGAATCGAACCAGCTCTGATACCAACTTGCAAGGAACATGAATATGGACGAAGCAAAGAAATCCCAATTGCAAATCACACTGAAGTCCAGGTAGTCAAAGCAAGAGCAGATAACACATTGGAACTGAGCAATCATCCATTTGAGAACGATACAGCAAAAGTCGTGAGTCAATGCCCAAGCCCAATCGGCCAACACCAACAACATTACCCGAAGTAGCCTTCTCTCCTGAATGGCGCCAGGCGCCCTATCTACTCTACAGCCTATCCTACAACTACAGTCATGGAAGCAACCAGACGACTTGACGACCAGCTAGTGATGACGTCAACACCAATGCCGACCTCCTCCTCCACCAGGTACGTCACTCTCTCTTGTCCCTCACTCTCCCTTGTTATCCCACACAGCGCCCTTCACTTTCCGAAGAACCACCTTCGCCCTCACCTCCTCCAACGCCCTCCTGCAGCCTGGCTATGGCTGCCAACGCCCTGCGCCCAAACTGCGCTCTACCGCTTAGCGCCGGCCTGGCTTCCTAGCGCTACATCTGCTCCAGCACGTGCATTAGCGCAGCAGCGTGCCGACATTGCACGCAAACGCCAAGATCCCTCCCCAGTCGCATGCTCTGCCTATATGCCAAGCTGCGTGTGGGCGGCTGCGTTTGAGCCTGTGCCTGCCCCCACCCCCCCCGTATCTACGCCCAGGCCCAATGCAGACAAGGGCCCAGGCCGTACAGTTGTGCCTCTTTCATCAAGGCCTTCGTCCAGATTCAGATAGTAGGCCGGTTTCCTATTGGCATTTTCGGTCTCTATGTCCAGCATGCAATGTCGGCCTCACGTTTATGCGCCCAGGGCCTAACCAATACTGGGGCCCTGGTCCTTCTGCATTTGCAGGGATCTGGTACTCGGTGCACTCCAACCAACTGGCGTGCGGCAACTGTCTAGACCCCACTTCGTGAAATGTTGAATGAAAAGGCCGCTCGTTGATTTGCTGGCCCGCCTTCACTTAGGGCGGGCACTAGGCTTGCTGGGGGCCTTAGCCAAGAACATGTACATCACGGCAAGGCCCCTTTGAGGGCTCAATCCTCACACGTCTGTTCTTGTGTTTTTATTTTTTTTATTTTTTTATTTTGGGGTCGGCGGGGTGTAGACGGCTCCTGCGCAGCCACCCTCCCGCCTCGATCCCGACAGTTCCGTCTGCGACGTGGCTGGAAACCCTGTGAACGGTCGTCCACTTATTTAGGGTCCTGTGACCGGCCGGTCACGTGTTGGGGATCCTATTGGGACTCCTATCATTCAAACCCTTCAGAAAATCCTAAACTCTTTCCTGCTTATCGCATGTCTGATGACATACTATTCTTTATTGACAATTTCGAAGAAAAAATATAAATTCCTGCCTGCTTATAGCATGTCTGATGACATACTCTTCTTTATTGACAATATCGAAGAAAACATGTGAATTCCTCACAAAGAAGAAATCAAAACCCTGATTATTGGGGAGTGCCATGATGTTGAGGGTCATTTCGGATTTAAACCATCAGTACTTGGCCCATACATCGGCCACGGGGTGTTTTCGTTAACGCCCCACAACTTTCAGACGTCGAGGTACCGGTCCTCAAAGGCTGGCACCGCCAGCCAAAACACTGTTTTCTTGTTGCGCTGGCGGGTTAGCGCGAAATGGCGTGCAGGCCGTTTTCAGGCTCGACATTGGCAGCTAGGCCAAGTACTAGTGGTTTAAGAAGACATTTGCTAACACGCGTGAGCTTTTTGAATGGCAAGGGATGAAAGAAGATGTGCTAACCTATGTGAGAACTTGTCTTGTTTGTCAGAGAAACAAGTCGTCTCATGAGAATCCTTTGGGACTGCTCAGACCGCTCCCTATTCCAAGTGAGCCAAGTGAGTCCATTTCCATTGACTTCATGAGTTTCACCAAAAGTCGAAATGGGAACAGTCAAGTAATGGTGATTGTTGATAGGTTCTCAAAATACGCAATGTTCATTCCTTTACCATCTAAAGCTAGAACGAAAAGATCCAGATGCTCCGGTAGGGATGTACGGTTCATAGGCCAGCAATGTTAAAAGCTCATGGAAGCCTATGGCACAAGGTTGACGATGTCATCAGGTAGACACCCTTAAATAAATGGCCAAACTGAGCAGATGAACCGGTTGTGCCAACAACGTTTGCGCATGTATGTTCGGCCAGACCAAATCGATTGGGATGAGAACTTACCCAAGATTGCAAGTGCACATAACAATATTGTTCACACTATTACAGGTAGGACACCAAACGCACTGCATAAAGGTTGGAAGTCGAGTCGCCCTGGAAGACGACAGCAACAGTACAAGGTGAAGGTCAAGACGCAACCTGAATCCGAATCCCGATGGTTTAGCAAGAAAGAACTTCTACCTATTGCACCTGATATTGTTGCAGCGTATGAGTGTGGGTTGAAAAAACGCCAAGCCTAAAAGAAACTTATTTCTGCGATGGAACTGGAAATTGGGCCGGATGGAATGCAATAACTCAGCTCAAATCTGCATTAGTCGTGGGCTGTAGGTCGTCACTTTTGGTCAAAGCCCCGAAATAGGGGTCAAAAGTCATGCCCTAAGTCTTGGTAATGCCAGGACAAAGGCCTGATGTCAAGGGGTACCCAAGACAAGATCGAAACTGGCCTTCAGAGCCCCTACGTGAAGCAGTTGACCCTGGGAAAGTCAACGGTCAACCCCAGCTCGGGAATCCAGGCCCAGAAGTCAAAGTCAACCCGCTGGTCAACCTCGGCCGTAGATTGGATGCACATGATTGGTTGTCCGGTCCAAGTGGGACATGTGGGGAATATGCAACTGTATGACATCCAGGCCATTGGCTGCCAACAGATCTGGGACGTCGTACCCAGGAGACCAGTGGCTGGTCAACGTGAGTCAACACTATAAGTTGACCCAGCCCCTGATTGAGATCATTCAGTCTTGTGCGCTCTGCTTGACACTGGCTTGATGCTAGTGCGACGATGCGAGACTGCTGCAGCTTTATGTTGGTGCCATTCTCTGTGTGCAGGCGCTAGCCTTGGGTGATTATGCTGGTGTGGCCATTGCCACATTGATTGCAGCATTGACGAGAGAGACGGCGAGGAAGAGGGGGATCTGAACTGTGAGATTGGTTGAGTGATGAGGAGAACCTTACCTGAACGTACCTGTGTCGCTGCGTGTGCTTGATGCACGTCTCCAAGAGGAAGATCTGCGCCATCCTCCTTGGTCGTAGCTGACGTGGCAGGAGGATGGGCGCCTTGTTGTGACCTGTTCGTCATATGTGTCAGTGATGGTCAGGGAAGAGCTGTACTGCTGACATGGCGAGAGTGTGGGAGAGCTGAGGAAATGGGCAAAGAAGAGGTTTCTGCTTCATTGATTCGTGTGGAAACTCTCCTCCTCCTCCTCCCTGTCTTTCCTCCCACCTTCCTCATTCTCTTCTTGATGATCGGGACATTGGAAGACTATGTGTGACGAGCATGGTTCCATAAACGATTTTTGGAGACAATGATGTTGCGCTGTGACAGACTTGTATCTCGACATTTGTGAGCTTCTCATCTGACTGGGTTCATTACAATTCCTGGTTTCTGCTGAAATCACTTGTGTTGCTTTGATTGGCATGTATCGTGTGACCTTGGAGTGCTTGCATGGTTGCGAAGTGGGAGTCAAATTGAGTGGGATAATTGCAGCAGCAGAGCTAGCAATAGGACTAAAACAGGCAACAACATCATGTCATCAACAACTGAAAAATACAAAGAACTTCTGAACCATACATACGTGATCCTCTGTGTCTCTGGAACAAGGACCCCCGTCAAATTGATCATCTGCACCTCTTTTATGCTGCGCAAAGTCATCCAACACCAGTGCACAGTTCATTCGTGATTATCAGGTGATCCATCATGATTAGAAGAATTTCTCAGTCTCAGAAAACAAAAGATGGGCCAGCGACAATCCCCGCATATGAGAAAAGGAGTGTTGATGATAGTTAAATCATTGGGTGAGTAGAATAGGTAGAAGGAATGATGACATCAATGAGGACAAACAGGCTGAGTGTAGTTTATCCGGGAAAAGGAGTGACCACCCAGTTGCGGATTGTTGCTGTGTTTGGTAGTAAGGCTCTGAAAGCAAATTGCAATGATTAGGACTTCTTTATTTGAAAGACATTGAAGTTTGAAGTTTGAACAAAACTTCATGTACGAAAAATGGAAGAAGTCAGGCACTCACAAGCATTGTATAGAAAGCAAGCTTTTCATATTATAAACGGTAATCCATGACCCTATTTTAAACTGACAAGGGAGAAGAACAATGTTTGGAGCAACAAGCAAGACAGATCATATTGGAGATACGATAACGAAATGAGGTTGTTCATTGCAGTCAATTTTCTCGGCAGTGCATCAATGATCTGAAAAGTCAAAGTGCACGTGTCACTCTTTGTCTCTTTCTGTGTGTCTGAATCTCCATTCCTCTGTGCGTGTCGCAGCCTCAGTTTCTGTTTCTCTCTCTCTCTCTCTCTCTCTCTCTCTCTCTCTCTCTCTCTCTCTCTCTCTCTCTCTCTCTCTCTCTCTCTCTCTCTCTGTGTGTGTGCATCATTGTTGTTAGTGTCTTTGCCCTTGCTGTTGTTCCACTGTATGTGTGCTGTAAGTTGTCACCACAACAATCCCTTTTCCACCCAGATGAATAGATCCAAAATTGGAAAAGATCTACCGCTCTAGCAAGCAACATGAACCACACATAATGACTCCTTATGTGCGTTGTGAATTGTCACCACAACAATCCCTTTTCCACCAACATGAGGAGATCCAAAATTGAAACAGCTTTACTTCTACTGCAAACAGCATGATGTGTCTGTGTCTGTTTTCAAAGAACCCCAGACTCTCTCTCTCCCATTACATCCACAAATCATCACAGATACAGATAGGCAATATAGTAGAAAATGCAAGGTTGGCCACATTTGGGTGGTTAAGTGCCAAATGCCCACATACTCGTCTGCCGCTGAATCGGCACACTTGCACAAATTTATTATAATCTATAAAAGTATGGAGGGCATAATGAAACGGTATTCACCAATTCGTGGTAGCTGAGGTAGATCCCAGGGCTCGATCCCTAGTTTCCCAACTTACCTGTGTACAATACCAGCGTCAACTCGAAGAGTTGAACCTGCGACCTGTAGAACCGCCAGTGGTAGGTAGGTCTGTCGTAGGTCTATAGGTAGCCAGGATTCGATCCGTAGACCTATAGACTAGAAGGCTAGCTGCAGTCCTTCTAGAAGGTTGGCAAGTGGTCAAGTGGTGCAGGCAAGTGGTCAAGTGGTGGTCAAGTGGTGCAGGCAAGTGGTCAAGTGGTGCAGGCAAGTGGTCAAGTGGTGCAGCCAAGTGGTCAAGTGGTGCAGGCAAGTGGGCAAGTGGTGTGACTAAAGCAAGCCCATGTTGGAGAGAGTCTAGAAAGTACCAGTCCGGTCCAGCAAGTACGACGGGGGGAACTGTGTGCACCATGGGCCAGGGACACAAGGCAGACCAATGCAGCACAGAAGCATAAATCAAGAGGCTGCGTCCATTCATTCATTCATTCCTGCGGATGCCA